GTGCAGTATTTCGTGTATTTTTTATACTGAAATGACAAATAAATTCAGATTCTGATTCTAATGTTCCACAGTATGGTATAAAAATTATATATTTTGTATTTATTCAATTATGGGTGTTTTGATTTTTAAAACATGTATTATTACTGTGATTGGACTCACTACTCTACAGATCTGATCTGTAACTTATTCTGGTGATGTAGTCTGCTTGTCTCCATGGAGACAGTTAAATTCCATACTGTCCTGACATTCCAGGAAAAAAAAACAATAACATTTACATGGAGTCAAGTAGGTGGTGGACCCTCTACCAGAAAAGTCTATAAAATGGGTACCTATGTTCCCTAAGTTACAAAAGATATGAAACATTTAAAATAGTAAACAATCTAAATGTCAAAGTAAGATTCTATTGGTTAAACTACAAGGAAACAGCTGAATAGAATTTGCCTTAAAGGTTGTATAGAGGATTTTCCAAGGAACGAGAAATCCAGCAACTGTTTGTCCTTTTTCAAATGTTGCGCATGCGTGAAACCACCCCCCCTCCCCTACAGCTCCCTACGTAGAAACGCCTCCTCCCGCCTCCTCCTTACGCCAGAAACAGGTTTGTTTACAGCCGGCGCGCTGCACATGACTTGTAAACAACTAACTACAGTGTTGGTTAAGCAAGGAGGAGCGGGGGAGCGGGGGGAGCGGGTGCGCGGATATTTCGTGCGCGGACGAGAAGTGAGGAGCAGGGAGAAGAGCGGAGCAGGGAGCAGGGAGCGGGGAGAGGAGAGGGGAGCGGTGCGCAGAGATTCCGTGCCCGGAGAAGTGAGGAGCAGGGGGAAGAGCGGATCGGGCAGCGCGGGGACAGGAGCAGGAAAGGGGTGCAGAGAAGGTTGCGCGGAGATTCAGTGCGAATGAACTAGCTACAACACGCAGCAGCAAGCGGACTCTTTCTTTGCATTGAAAATTACGTTTTCAGACATAGGATATCGCTTTCGTGTCCTGAAAAACGTTTGACTAGCTCTTGGAAATAAAGTACGTTTTCATAATAAGCAGAAGTGACCTGTCCAGGAGTAATTTGGCGACCAATGAGTCAGTCTTTAGACCCTTCGTCTGCTTCAGTTGCGCCATCGCTGGAATGAATCTACAAGAATCACCTTAGTTTGGCTTCGCTGCTATTCCCCTTGTCTTCTTCTTTCAGCAATCTCAAAAACAGACTTTCTTTTGTGGCTAACTGCTCCTGGATTCTTGTCTGCCATTGCAACAAACTTTGTGCGAACTGCGAGGAAGATATAGGTCAAAAAAAGCCGCTAAGAACTGTTGCGTTGGTGGAGTAAACAGTGTCTGTGCGGCTTGCGTCTGTGGACTGCGTGACAGGCGTACGTAAACCACGTACCGGCGGCGCGCAGGCAAGTCAGTTACGCTAGAAACGTAGGGAGATTGATTGACAGCCTGTCAGCTAACAGATAACGAGGCAGTGTCGTTATCTATTGGCAAATGTTTAGCTGGCCCCACCACGTCCCGAGTTGATGAATTTTTATTCTCTTTTTTTTAGTCATCATAATTACAAGGCTACTGCACCTCTATAATGCCATCATTGACAATTTGAAACAAAAAAAAATCCTCCATACAACCTTTAAGAATCAGTATCCCCCAAAGAGATCCTCTTCTCCAAACACACCTCTGCTTCATAGACAATCCTGCGCTCCTCTAGAGTCCTGAAGTGCTCTTCTCGCTGATGATCAAACTGAGACTTGAGGAGTGTGAAGTCGTAGCGCAGCTTGTTGTATTCAGACCTGTATCTCTCCGCCTCCTACACACAGAAGGAAATCAGCAAATAAGTGTAGTGAAGAGGGAGCTCTGAAAGGGTTTTAGTCAGTGCCACTCTCTTATGTTCAGAACTGTAATAATATCTACTGTTTGGAGTTGCATTAAGGCAACACAAGCTATTGGTAAAGAAACAGACTGATACATGTGACAATCTACTGTGACTAATATTATGAGGAAAAAGTAAATACTTTAAAGAGACAGACCTCCTCGAGTTTGTTGAAGCGTTCTCTGATGGGACCCTCCATCTCCTGCTGCACCTGAGCTCTGAGCAGCTCCAGACGCTGAGGGGTCATTACCTGAAATCATACATGTTTTAAATAGGCACTCATTCATTAAGTCAATACCATTCACATTATTTTTAAGTAGCATCATTTCCTCCATAAAGAACAACATTTTCTGTCTGATTCTTCAGAGAAAATACTATCCTTGTAATTAAGATTTGTACAAACATGTTATTCTTGAATTATTTTGTCTTTTCATATTGGTTTTTGTCAGTGCAGGATCACTGAAACATGACACAATAGACACCGAATTTGATTTGTGTATGTGTAAGGTATGTTTATTAGAATACAGACCCTGTTAAGTGAATGACCCTCACACCTGTAGCTTTAGGTCCTCCAGCTCCCGGGTCTTGTCCAGCAGCTCCCCTCTGAGCTCAGCCAAAAGCAGCTGCTGTCGCTCCTGCTGAGTCTGTCTGTCACTCAACAATCGCCGCAACTCATTCTGCGCTCGAGTGAACTCATCCTGGAGACTGAAGAATATGTTTGTTTTTTTCAACTATTACTATTAAATCGCCATTATTAATCAAACTGACATCTTCTGTTCTTATTTCTTGTTAAAAGGTACACTATTCATTTTGCTGGTGGAGGGTCTGCGATCTCATCTCCAAGCAAATGTTATTGCTTTATCAGAAATTAAAAACTTAGGCAGGTGACAGCACTAGGCCAAATGACTGTGGAGAGGTGAGCCCATGTTTTTCAATTTGTGTAAATAGATAATAATTTTAATACTCTCAACCATTTTGCAAGAATGTGCCATTATTTTGCCACATTAATAAAAAAGAACAGTTAGAAGAGGTTACAATTAATATCAATCTAAACAGTGAATGAATTTTAAAAAAAAGAAAATGCATTCTGTAATCATTTACCTAGTGTGCTCAGCCTTCAGTGTCTGGTAGTTGGTCCTGTGATTTTCACTCTTCATCCTTTCATCAATCAGCATCTTCTGCAGCTCCATCTCTGCTCCCCCGAGACTGGCCGACAGCCCCAGCATCGCCGCAGACCGCCCCATACCTGCCTCCATGTTTGAGGGGAGAGGGGCAGACTGGCCAAGAGCAGAGGTGGTCATCTCTCCTATTGATTAAAAACACAATGTGAAAACTACACTTGCACCTCTGGGTTCCTTAATGTGCTATTTACTATGCAGCCAGTCTCCAAAGGTTTGTTGTAAGTAGTAGTAACCATGGTGCCCAAGACAGCATCCCACAAGCCACTTCTAATCACAGTTTATCCATTTACATAGGGCTGTGTGAATGAGTCTCAAGTGATTAGCCCTTGTCTTGAGACTGCCTCTGTTGTGGATACCAAAGATCAAGTGAGTGGTAATTGCTGCTACTCTAGTTCGTCAGCCATTTAAAACACAAATGAATGAATGCGCTCAAAAATCCTGACTCCAGGCTATAGATTAAGCTGCAAGTTAAGGTTGACCAGACATCCCTATTTACTTGGGACAGTCCCAGCTTTGAACCCTGCGTCCCCTGTCCCCGCAGATTCATCTAAAAACCAGTGATATGTCCCAGTTTTATATAAGAAATGTCACTGGTGTCCCTATTTTTAACCAATTTGATACCTGGAAACAGTAAAGAGAGGCATACATTGTCATTTGTTTAGGTAAAATACAGAAAAGCTGCGTAAAAATTACCAAAAGACAGAAAATGTGACTATACTGACTCACGTTAGTCATGAGTGGTCTCTTAATAACATTTTTTCTTAATTACGCACTTGTTTCAGAATTTTATTATTACCAGCCACCAAAAACGCATACAAGACTGTAACAGCGTATAATAGAGGACGTTTTCAGACATAACACTTTTCAGTTTAAAAAATTACAGATGAAAAACTATGAATTAATAAAATGAATGAAAGACGAAGCGTGTAAATGCTAGCTAACTATTTGTAGCAGTAACGCAGACATAACATGAGATTTTGACTCAATATAGTAACATACATCAAAAACGTATGTTCAGGGGAGCATTTTAGTCGTTGATAGTGTTGTTCTTCAACATAAAAGAACAAAAATACATATAAATCAACTGGACATGTTTTCAAATGTCGCGCTATTAAAGGGCTAATCGCCGAGGGGACGCCCATTTATCGGACAGTGGACTTTTGCTATTGATCTTACGAGTTTTTAAGTTTGAAATGCGCAAAACATCATGTAATCTAAAGCCTTTAATGGCATGTACATTTACAGTAGCAGAAAATAGAAAAAAAACTGCGAAAAAAGACGAGAAATGAGCACAGCTGCGCGGATACTGTCCATAAGCAATTGCCAAGTTGGAATTAGCGTCGCATAGTTTAATATTTTGTCATCAGAAAACATTGTAACAACGCGTGTCCTTTTGTGTTTCATTTCGTATAAAATTACTCACCGCTTTCCAATCTCAGAGCCCCCTTTATTGACCTGTAACCAGACCAAGTTAGCCGTTCGCTAACCTCCTAGCTCATCTAGCGACTACAAACCGATGCATCACGGGAAATTAGTTTAAAAACCAAAGATCGTCTGTTGAGGTAATGATCTTCACGCTTCGCAAGTGTCAGTTTTTCCCACACGCACACCGCCCTCTGCTGGTGGAAATGTTTTTTTTTTATATAGTGACAGTTCATATTTACGGATTTTGAGGAAAAGCGACAATTTTCACGCTTGACAAAAAGGAATGAAAAAAGGCAAGCAAATTATTTTAAATTCAAGATTATTGTTTGCATTAAAAAGTAAAATTGTATAAATCAAATATACTAACATATATATACATAACATATAAAACAGATATACATTAATTATCATACTCTATAAAAATGCTAATTAAATAATAGAAAACATGACAAAATACATATAATGCCCTGAAAAGTAGGATGAAAATGTATACTGGGCAGCCAAAAATGTTTTTAAAAAATTGTAAAAAAGCAAGGAAGTGCAGTTTATATTTTTAATTTCCAAAACAGAAGTGCTTTGCGCTGCGCTAGGAATAATAGAGCTGCATATATACTTTTGAATTTTGAACTACAAACAATAATAGTACTTGGAAAGGCTTCAGTCATGACCAACATAAAATAAACAAAGTAAAACGAAATGTATAAAACAACAGTGGGGAAAAAACACAAATTGCTCTTATAAACTGTTACAGCCAAAGTGTGATTGTCATTGAGATACACACACAATAATAACAATGATGGGATGCTACATGACACTTTGTGAAATAATTGGGCTGAAGTGAAAATGGTCCATTACTTTACATTGTACCATGTATAGTGTTTCTCCCAAATTTGTGAGACTATGGTGCCACAAAATGTATTGGAGTAATGCCACGTTTTGAATTTAATACATAAGGGATGTTTTGTAAACATTTACAATAAAACAAGAAATAAAAGATAAAACATTGAAGTATTCTTAAGCTTGTGGTTGGCACCGTAGTCTCACCTTTAATGAGAAACTCTGCATCTGTGCTTTTCCATACAGTGACAGAAACAACATAGTGTGAAGGCTGCTTAAGGCACTGGCCCGAGTTCATAGAAATATTAGGAAGATCATAAAGATTCTCAGTAACCTTCTCAAAGTGGTTAAACCTATGAACACACATGTACAGGGATCAATTAAATACATAAAAAAATAAATTAACAAAACTATTATACTGTACAAAGTAAGGGTGGCATTCAGCCCACTTCCTGAGTCTCAGTCTTTTCTAAAATACAGTACCAAACATCTTCAACCTGAGCTGCAAAAACACATAAATGAGTATAATTAATGAAAGAGCAAATCAATTAAAATTAGTTATAAATATGAGAGACTTTACCTGTCTGCTGCATCTTGGTCTGCTGCATTGCTGTCTGCTTTGGATGAGGAGCTTTGCATTTTTGTGGGAACTACAAAAACAAAACAAAAAAACAAAAAAAAAAGTTTTCGAAGGATATTTTCAGTGGATGTAAAGTGAAAACTGTCCGCTAAAAGTACTAACCTAACACTGCTGGGATGTTGAGCCTGTTGTGATGATTTGTCTTTTTTTGGCCATTTTATCGGCCTTTTAAAACATAACAAATTGGCTCTAAAGTTGAATTTGTTATGGCTTATCTAAATGGTCAGAAGATTCTCTGCATTTGACCTGGGAGGTGCTGCTCCCTGGGACCCATGTCCAGATCATGTTTTTAATGATAGTATCTAGCAGGAGGATTAGGCTATTGTCTTTTTAGGTCAGTGGAGTAAGTTTTAAGTTCATGTTAATCAAATAATAAGAAACAATATTTTATGCATTTTCATAATATATAAAATAAGAATAGAAGATGAACAGACCTTGTATCCAGCGTATCTGTGTGGCCGGCCCGTAGCCCTGTTCATTTTTGGCTGCGATCCTGAACACAACAGCGGGGCGGTTGGTCTGGGAGCAGTCAATGTGGGCGTTCTCCAGGTGGGATGAGCTGACGGAGCAGGACGTCTTTGTGCCCCTGTAGATTCGGATAAATCCCATCTGCCCTGGGCGCTCTGAGCTAGACCCCGGCCGGCTCTTCTTCACCGCCAGGTACATGGAATACTCCATAATCTTCCCCGAAGGAGAGGAGGGCGCATCCCACGCAATGTGCACAGTGTCATTGAGCTGATAGAGGAAAAGATTTACAATAATGTCACATATAAAATTTCTCTTATGCGGGGGTTAAAGGGCCTAGAATAGAAAACACTTTCATGAGCTCTAGTTTTTATCTTAGGTACAGTTGTAGTCTTTCCCTCTTTGTAGTTATAGAACATAATTTAAGTTTTTTGAGGAATCAGACAAGTACAAATTGGCCAAATTAGACACAATGTCAATAACAGAAATTATACATTCAAGATTTGTGAATTTACCTTTTATAGCTTAGTCAATAGGAAAAACTGTCTCATTTTCTCCATCATTACCCCCTGTAATCTTAAAAATACCATCATCTTACCTTAGTGATTTTAACGGCTGATGGAGCTCCAGGAAACCCAGGCTGGCAGGTCTTGAACTCACTGACCGGACTAAAGTCTCCGGTTCCAAAACAGTTGAGCCCAGCCACTCTGAACCTGTAGGTCTGACCAGGGGCTAGCACCTCCCTCTCCCGGCCCTGATAGTCCTGAGGTCCTGGGGCTTTCCTCTGCACCAGGGGCTGTGCAGGAAACAAGAGCAAAACTAGAGAGACTTCTACAACAGACCTAATACTTGATTATAGTGAGAAGAGCTGTGTAGATAGAAAGTCAACACACATCCATCTTGTGTAAGATAAATAAGCCTGTAAAATGCAATTGGAAAATTGCAATGGCTGCAGTTAAAAAAGTACACTTTCGTATGTATTACTATGTAAATAACTAAATATAATATATGTATTGAAGTTGTATCTTATCTACATTCAGACATTAATAAACATTCTGAAACACATGTAATTATTTATAGGTGAGATATATTTGTATTACTATATTTCTATATTTTATTTTTACTTTTGCACATTTATATAATAATGCCTTATTTGACACCAGCCTCTTGAATTTATTAAATATATTTATTTTTGAAATTATTATTACTATTTATATTTTTAGACCCGAGCGTCAGAAGCTGGCAAAGGGCCTATTAGTATCGCAAAGCGATGCGCCTAGTTTGCTCTTTGTTATTATATTATATTGTGATGTGTGAGCTGCTGGATCCAAATAATTTCCCTTGTGGATCAATAAAGTTTGTCTGATTCTTTATTTTAAAAACATACAAAATTGCAAAAACCTACCTCTTTAATGCTTACTGTCCGGTTGCTGATAGCGTTTGTGCTCTGGTCGTTTTCAGACGGAAGATAAAAGTGATTGACCTCAGAGAAAAGTGTTTTAAAGACTCCAACATCGAACCAGGAACCAGAGTCTGTCTGTTCAGACTGAAAAAGATCAGTACATTTATTGCAGTGAGCACAAATGTATGACTTATGAATAATGGCAATGAAATAAATCAGAAAATTACCACATACCTGTTCATTTTTGTCAGCTCCTAAAACAAACAAAAAAATTTATATATATCAAATATACTGCATTTGCTTTTTTCTCTGATGTCACATAATTAAGAGCACTCACTGGACTGAGCTGAGTCACCTGCAGCAGATGTTTCCTTTTCAGCTGCACATGAAAAAATAAATACATAAATTAGTAAAAAAAAAAAAAAAACTGTGTCTAAGTATATTAATATGTTTGAAATTAAATTAACTTACTGCTGTGTTTAGTATTTGAGCCTGTGCCATCCTGCTCTTCTTTTTCCTGGACAATATTATTATTATTAGACAACTATTATGTGCCACTAAACCAGCATATCCACATCTTCCCTTTGATACTGTGAAATACTGGCAAATAACATAAAATTAAATGTTGTACACCGGGTCACAACAGTGCAATTTTCCCAATTCTACAACACCATGTAGTTCTATTTCACCCCTACCAGGATTCATACAACCACAGTAGTCACATACATAACCTTTGCTTTACATTGCACTGAAAAGGTAAATTAAACTGATTAATCTGAGAGTTTACATTTCCTTCCAAGTGGTTAAATCCAGTCGTCACTCACTCAGGTAGCCCATATCAAATAGAAAAGCACTGGATCACAATGTAATAAGTTACCTTTGTGCATATGTTCTCCACTTTATTGGTAGTATCTTCTTTTTGAGCCTGACCTTTACCTTTAAAATAAAAACAGAATATTGTTTTATTAGTTTTGAATCATTTATCTGGACTGACTCGCTTTGCCAAACTCACCAGTGGCGTCTCCCTCCTTTGTGTCTGGTCCTTGTGTTTTATTTGAATCCTGGTTTTGACCGACTCCGTTGCTGGACGAACTCACAGGCTGAATCTGGAGGAGGTAGCTATCTGCTGCAGCTAGGGGGCGCCAGGCCACATGCAACAAGTTCACTGTGGACTTGATGAGCAGTACTGGCTCTGGAGTAGAAGGAAGCTCTGGAGAAAATAAACAAGTAGCAAATATTTGTTTTGCATTAACTCCTCTACTGGTGTGGTCTTGAGAGTACATTTTGGGTCAGATATATAGAGTGATAGAATATTTAGTCAACCAAGAATTTCTTAAAATGACTATAATCCTAATTCCATAAACAAAGACAAGAACTACTCCCATTCTCTACCCACATGCTTCACTTATTGAGACATCACTACTGTTTATTCCTTAGATGAAGATCACCTGATAAAAGCTGCAGTTTAGGAGCTGCCCTGACAAAGTTGTCCAGTTGTCACAATTTCCTGAAATTCTTAGTCATGCACATTTCTGGTTTTCCTCTAAAGTCAGATATTAGCAAGCTGCATGCCAGTCTCAAATTGTACCATCTACTCATAATGCCATAATCATAAATTGTATGGAGCTCAACAGTGACCGCCTGCTCCGGTTAAGCAAGTAAATATTAAAGAGCTCAAAAACATCACATCACATCCATAATGCAGTTGTTCTAAGTCCATAAAGCACATTTGAAAAATACGATTCAGCAAAATGTTTTAATAATGATTCAGAAACAGATGTTAAATAAAATAATAAGTCTTTTGTTCATTAGTTACCACATTGCTGATAAGGCCTGAACAAACTTTCAAACTTTTAACAATATATATTTGTTGTGGAACTGGGGACTGGAGCGATCACTGTTGAGTTCCATTATCAGATGCTCATAGAATGTGTTTTCTCCCAGTGAATATCTCTCTTTCTCTCACCTGTCTCCAGATACCACAGGTCCTTGCAGCAGACCTGATAGCTCCAGCTCTTCCTGTATCCGTCCCTCCCGCTCCATACGTACAGACGGGAGCCCACCGCCACAGCACAGTGCCCCGCTCGGGCTCGGGGGCGGACGGCGTAGGGGTCTTCCACCTGAGGGCCCTGACTCTCCATTTGAGACTCCACGTCCTCCGGTTGCTCCGGGCCCAGATCCTGCCAGCTCAATGTGTCTGGAGAACAACAGAGACATTAGAATTGTATGATATTTTTAAGCAAGGTAAAGCATGTGCGTATACTAGTAGAGCTCTACATGAAAGTTTTGGGTGTGTCAAAAATATTGATAATCAGCAGCCTCCATGGTCAGTAGGCAGGACACTGATCCAATATTATTCTTTTATATTATGATTTACTTCATTATTTTAATTCACACAGACTTTACACCTTTTCACAGAAAAAAAGTGAATACTGGTAAATGTCTACCATGACCTATATAACCTATATAACCTATAGTACTTTAAAACTTATAGAACTTTAGTCATAGTGTTACTAGACCAACAATTACTTTGAATAAGGATGTGTTACGCTTTTAATTTTTTTTTGCATTCAACATTTTTTGCATTCAAAGGGCACAAATGTTTAAGTGAATTACTTAGATTTGCAGCATTTGAAGCAGAAATAAGTTTGACTAACCCAAATTAAGGACACTCAAAGAATTAGTGCAAATCCACTCTGTTCCAATAGCTTTTTCTCTCTCAGTCTCTGGTATTGGCACCCAGCCTCCAAACACATACATCCTATACAGAGTGGGCACAAGAAAACAGTTACAGTCAACATCGGATAGGTGTTATCACAATGAGAGTTTTCAGCATATCCAGCTTTCTTACTTATTTCCGATGACGTTTGCCGTGTGCAAGCTTCTAGGAAATGGTCTGCAGCCTCTAGTTTCAGGCATTGACCACTCCATTGTATCTAAATAGAAAATTGAGACAACACTGAAGTACAGCAATTCATTAACATTTATTTACACATTTCTAATAAAAGGAACATAAAATAGGGCTGCACAACAAATGTAAATGCTGCAAGAAACAAAATATATGACACAAAGATCACTTAGGAGTTTTGGTCCTGGTCAAACATGTATATATATTTATTTATAAGTATTTTGAAATTATATATATATATAAATAATTATTATAATTTTAATATAAAAATGTTGAAATATCACATATAGCCCGAACATAAAACATACCAAGGTCTAGCTGCCAAAGGTCGTCTAACCGCGAGCCTTGCATGCCTCCAAACACGTAGAGTTTTGGTGAGCCCAGCCCAGTGTAAACCACCGCTGTGTGCGACTCTCTGGGTGAAGGACCTCCACCTTTGGTCTCTGGGATGCTCCAACCTCTCGCCCCCGATACTGACTGTAACTCCAGCTCAAACAAGTCTCCCAAGTATCTGAATATTAAAAAATATATATATATGAATGTAATATATTTTTAAAGACAACTGATTTTTACTGATTTTACTTTTGTTATTGACTATACATAACTGGCTATAAGAGTAATAACAAACAGCATAAATATTGTTCTCCTAAAGATATTAGATGATAAAGTTACTGTAAAACATTGACTAAACTAAATTATAAATTGCAATAAATAAAAAATAATAATGTCAAAGTGTGCTAAAAGTAAAAGAAAAAAAAATAACAAACAAAAGTTAAATATGCTGCTCTGAATCGTATGGAGCAAAACTCAAGGGGATTGGTATTGAATAGTCGACATAAGACAATAAATCCAAACTGAAATTATTATTAAAATGTATATGTATAGTACCGTGGTATGTTGCCATTGGGATCCTCACTGTCATTTGCCAATCCTCCAAAAAGATAACATTTGTTTCCTGTAAGAGTAAAGCTGTGACCAATGCGTGCGCAAGGGGGAGAGCCAATCTTTGGTGCTCTAGGCTTCAGCTTCTTCCATAACCAGCGACTTGCCTATGAATACAAAATTTTAATAAATAACAAACTAAACACATTATAACAAGTAAAAAAGATTAATTAATAAAAATAAGTAATGTTTGATGATCAACATTACCTGTAGTTCATATAGGCTGCTGGAGTACTTTCCAAATTCAACCATTCCTCCAAATACGAGAATTCGAGCTCCATCGCAAACAAAGCCATGAGCAGCGCAACCAGGAGGGATGTCACCTCTCACAGCTGGGAGGAACCACTGTCTTGACACTACAGAAGATTTTATATGCATACTCATGAGTAAAACACAGATGTTGTTTAATACATTTTCTTAAAATAGACCAATAGAGTTAAATATTTGTATTTATTTATGTATTAATAAATTAACAATTAATAATATTAAAAGACAAGATAGAAGAAAGAAAACAAAATATGTATTTGTAAATATGAAGGATTGTAGCCAAAGTTAATTTCCATTCTTAATCTCCAGCTCAGCAAAGGCCTGCCACATCACCCGCCTAATTCATAAAACATGACTCAGATACAATAACAGCTTCCACGTGCATCTCTCACTCACACACTCTAAAACACAGGTATACTTCAGAGATACAGACAATGTTAGAAGTTTATAATACGAGATGTCTGATTTAGATCGTTTGAAACTCAGGATATGTACAGAGAAGGGATAGTGAATTTAACTCTAGGAAGACAAGAATGGTAACTAGAAAAGAGGACACGAGCTACAGCCCTAAACTTTTGCAAACAAATGCAATATTTTAATCCTATTGCTTTTGGACACATCATTTATTTCTACTCATTAGTCCAGGATGGATGCTACAGATGATACATTCTTCTTCCAAAATCAACTTTGTAGTGATGTTTTGACGTACTCAAGTCGCACCCTAACAACTGTCAAAATGGTAACCTTAGCTGGACGGTAAGTGGACACAACTAATGTTACAACTACTAAAATATTCAGATCCCAGAAATTTTAGGGCAATTTGTTCATGTTAAACAATGCATTGCTAGTAATAATACAAAATAATAAGATCATGAGTACTTAAAAATGCAAATGAGAAAGTATTTTGCAGCTTTCCACTGTTGGAGTATGCTAAAAACATTAGCCATTAGCCCCTTTAGCTTTAGCATTAGCTCACCAGTGTTGTATACATGGAGGTCCTCCGCTATCCCCTCGTTTCCTCCGCCGAAAACAATGATCAGCTCCCGGATGGCTGCAGCTCGATGACCGTGTCTGGACCGGGGGATCACTCCGCTGACTGACCCAACTCTCCTCCATATGTGCTCCTCGGTACCGGGGGTCATTTTACCGACACCGTCCCTGCACCAGAACCAGAGTTTGGCGCTGGCGACGTTTCAAAGCCGGAGGCGGGGCCATAGACTGAACGTGGGCGGGACGAGAGCGCAGGGATGTCCGCTGCAGCAGAGCGCGCACTCGGGCTGGGGTTTGGTTCAGGTACTGTTACTGCCAAGAATGATATTGAAACTAAAGTTGGCTCATCACTGAAAAAATGCAATTACAAACATTATATTATGATGGATGATCAGTAGTAGCGATGTAATAATAGTAGAAACTAAAGATGTAATAATAACCGAAATATCGTGATATCGTATCGTCAAAGTTATCACAATCGTGGACCATCATAATATGTCGAATTACAAGTCTCTTTGTTTAAATTAAGAATTATGTGAAAAAAAAACAGAGGGAACTACATAGACCATGATCCTTTGCTTCATTTCAGCATAGACTACCTGAAGAAATAGCATTTCTAAGCACTTTTAAGTATTAGTTCTATGGATTAATTCTTGTCAAGGCATTTTAAGAGGTAAAAGTAGTATATTAACAGTTTTCTTAGGCTCCATAAAATATCATACAGTGAGATGTATATCGTGAAAATATCGATTTGGATATTGTTACATCCCTAATCGTGAGCCTTCCCACCGTATCACGAGCCTACCCACGATATCGCAATAAATATCGTACCGTGAATTTCATACTGTGACAATATCATATTGTGAGACTTGGATATCGTTACACCCTTAGTAGTAACTGTTGCTCTTTGTTAATGGTATTATATATTCTGATGTGTAAGCAACTGTGTCCTAATAATTTCCCTTGTGGATCAATACTACTATTAAAAGTAATAGTATAATACTATTAGTAGTAGTAGTAGTAGTTAGGGTGACCATATTTCCGTTTGTGAAAACCCGGACACCTTGGGGGGGGGGGGGTATTGTGTATTACAAGCGGGTAGTAATTACACACTGGTGGGTCAGGACTAAACCAGGTCTAAACCAGGATTAATCTTGGATTTAAGAGAGAAAACGCCGAGCAGTTTGTCCGCAAAGCGCGATTGGGCAATTGCCGCGTTTAACTCCGTGAGGTGCGGAGCTGAGCCGGTCCTTTCTCCTACGGTCACCCCCGAGCCCGCCCTGACGGTGAGTCCTGCTCCAGTTCTGGTTTAGTCCTGGTTTAGTCCTAGTTCAGTCGTGGATTAGTCCTCCTCTTCAGTCCTGGTTTAGTCTTGGTTCAGTCCGTGGTGTAGGCAGCGCAAAAGTTTGATATAATCTCGGGTTAACGGGCAGGTGCGGTCCTGTCCTGCGCGGGTGCGGTGTTGTACTGAGGGTTTCCAAAAATGGACCCGTGCGGGACTCTGCGCTGTTGGGCTCCATTATGGAATAAATTAATCATGTTACATAAAGAAGGAGGAATATAACACAAGGACGACAGCAGCAAGAAGTTTTAAGAAGGAAGAAAAAAGGGTTGCACCTGCCCTGTCTGAGAAAAGTGTATAAAGTGTGTGCTGGGGGTTTTACAGCCTTAAAACAGATATAATCATTGTAAAATATAAAGTTGACTACTTCGCGGATTTCACCTATCGCGGGTTATTTTTAGAACGTAACCCCCGCGATAAACGAGGGACACTGTCCTCTCACCTCACAACCTGTGCACATGGACTCACACTTGTCCCGACCGGGACGGAAAACGGAGAATTTCTTGTACAAATGCGCATTTGTGTTTCGGTATGTTGCAGGCTGACCGACTGTTTGTGTCTCGCTCCTTCTGAGTCACAGACGCTACGAGAGACGCTCAGTTTAATGCCCCCAATGAACGATACTGAAAACCCGGACATATGCGTCACTTCATAAAAAAAAAAAAAAACTCGGACGCCCCGGACATGACGCAAAATACGGACATGTCCGGGGAAAAACGGACGTTTGGTCACCCTAGTAGTAGTAGTAATAATAGTAGTAGTAGTAGTAGCAGAGTAATAGGCTACCATATTATATAACTGGTCAAGACTACGTAGCGTAGATAGATGCATAAATAAATTAGTGCTTCATTAACAGTGCTGCATTTGTTTCATACAATTGTTTATTTAAAGCCATATATTGTAACCTCTGCTGCGGCACCTCCAATGTTACATATTAAATGTTCATCTGACTATAGTAAACATACAGACTTTTTTTTTAAATTCCCAATCATTAGCTCAATCATTCGAACAATAACTGGTTCTCAATATCACTGCTGTTTATTTTCCCTTTCAGTCTCTCTCCATTCGTTTGGCCAACAAAAACCCACCCAATAAATGAGCACAACATGAAGCAGTTTATGAAACAGATTAAATTTACTTTTGATGGTTATGAGAAATAAATAGTTCCAGTAAAAAGTCACACGGTTTACCACCAGCTCAGTGTTCGAGAGGGTCACAACAGCAGGCTTCCCATGCATTAGAAACAAGCATTCACTCACATCGCATTGAGTTCACACCAAAACCATTCATTCGACGTCTGAAAATACAGTTTACAAGGAAAAAACATATGGTTACTACTGCAGAAATCTCCATTTATGCATTATGCATATCACTGCTTATAAAAATCTGTCATTTAGATTAATGCATGCTGTCAAAATTATTAGGCGTATACTGTTAACTGACAAACAAAATGCATTTAGTTAGTCCTTCTATTGATTTGTGCATCTTAACCGGTAAATCTCCTCAAGTCTCATTATCATTTTGGTTTACCATAATCAAAAATATATATTTTTGTGCAAAAAAAGTAGAGTAAGACACCTACCTATATGTGTTCTTACCATTCACATACAGTTTTACAATATAAACAGTTCTAAACAAAAATATACAAGTAGGCCTATATATTTCCAAATGTCCAGGTTTGAGGTGATCTATTGATTTTTTATTGATATTTATTTTATTGATTGATTGATTTTTTTTATTTTTTTGCTTGATTTTTGATAATTCACTTTATTGTTCAACATATATTTTGAATGCATTATTAAACCAAAATGGTTTTTTTTTTTTTAATTCTAAATATATTTGCTGAAGCTAGGCTACTCAAATTGCAGCCCATATATTTTTTTTCATAGTTTGAAAATGTGACCTAAACTTTAAATTGAAGTTTTGAACCTGTCCAGATGCCTATTAATAACAGTACAAACAACTTATTTGAAACTTTCAAACTGCATAGAAAATTTTAGCTTATGTAACAGGCAATGGACAAATCAAAAATCTATTTCTGCACCCAAACCATACATTTCTCAATACATACTGGCTACAAATCAGTAACTTAATAATTTTATCATGACTTGAGGAGATCTTTCATTGAATAAATGTGTGCTATAAAGGGAGATTTCTGAGCAGTTGAGAAAAAATGTAAAATTTCAAACTGACATTTTCAAAATCTTTTTTATAACCATTTTTTATCCCCCCGCCCGTCACTCTCCTCCCTTTGTGAAAAGTCCATGCCTCAAAGACACTGTGTTTCCAAAGGAGAGGTCAAAACTGTCTTAATACTGTGGAGTAACCTTCAGTCCCTGATTCAAACAAGAACAAAAATGTTGAGTGCAAGTTAGAAGTTACTGCAGTGAGATATTCGACAAAAAAATTAAGCTTATTAAATTTTTTTTTAAACAAAAGCAACAAAGTCCTGGCAGTTTCTGGAGTTTGAAAGAAGGACTGTGGACTTCCTGTTTCCTCTTCTTGTTAATTTTGGTCCCATTGCAACTTTAAAATGGAGTGTGCTATGTTCCACCATGGATCGTAAACAAAATAATAATGGGATTGTATGTGGTACTTGTGTATAGTTAGCTAATATAGACAAAAGATAATGTTTACAGTAACCCAATTCTTTCTAATCTAGGCAGGCGATTAGTTTGATCTTAGACAAACAATTCTAAAAAAAAAAAATAAATAAAAAATCTTCCCAAAATAATTTCTACATCAAAATCAGATTGCACTCGAATTCGGATCCATAAACAGACTTCTCTTAAATAAACTAAAACTCTAATAATAATCTGGGCATATATTAATAAACTGTTTTAGTCTCACTATAACATGTATATTCAGAGACTTATCTTATACCACTAAGCTTGAGATTTTATTTTGACTGATCAACTCCCAAGACTTCATCTGTACTTAACTAAAGCTACTACAGCCTTTTATAAACAAGTACCACACCCATACCTAATTCCCAAATCACTTAATGAATATAATTTCATCATTTCCATTGCAAAATTTATCCTCCAGAGGTCAGTAAGGAGTCCATGATGAAATATTAAACAAACATCCACAATTCAAAATAACCGTATTTTAAATTACTACATGAAGAAGAGTCCTGTCCTCTTTAGCCTTTCACCTGGAAACGTGGTTCAGAGTTCAGTCACGGAAGCTCAGAGAAAAAACAAACAAACATACAATTCAAATATATATAGCATATCCATTTACATATTTAACAAAATGGAGAAACTGTTTCCAAGCAACAACAACAATAAACAACAACTTGGATCACAGCGTCAACATCAAAAATTAAAATTAACCTCATAAATCAGTGTAGGAGCAGGACAATAGTAAACTGACAGTTCACATCATGTTCACACACAAAGTTTGTTAAATACAAACAGTAGTATTTTAGCAGCAATTCGACCCCATCCCAATAAATAAAGTGTGTCTGTGTGTGTTGTAGTACTGGGGGGTACTGGGGTGTAGTACTGAGAGGGAACAGTAGGGGGCAGCTGGGCTCATGCGACACAGGTTGGTCCAGGAGGAGATGAAGACTGGAGATCTTTAAAACAACATGCTCTGTCTCCTGTTTATCTTGTTGTCTGGAAAAGAAAGCAGTGATTAACTTTTAAAATTCAAAAACGTATAGTCCAATTATGTTTAACTGAAATGCAGTATTGTAAACTGCAAATCAATGTGTAATCTATTTAAAGCAAAAATAAAATCCATTGTTTCTGTTCTGCTATCCAAGCGTTTCACAGTGATGAATGTGGAAATGATAATTTAAAACTTAAAATATATTATTAGAGAGGAGAAAAGTCCTCAAAATGTTGCCTACAATAAGCTGATTTCCATGAATAGCTGTTATATCATATTTTAGTTTTATCCGGTTTTGTAACGTGTTATTCTCGCTTTTGGTCATAATTTAGACATGTTTTGAATAATATTGTTAAGACTAAAATATCAAAAAATGTAATCCAAAAAATGTTGTGTAATGACAAAGTTTGAGAATGACTGGTGTGGAGACATACTTGAGTCCGTGTATCCAGTGTTCCTGTATCCTGGGTCTCTCTGAAGCTGCACCTCCTTCAATGTGAATATGGAAACATCTAAAAACAAAAAACAAAAATTAAACATGTACAGTTTTAATACTGTTTTAATAACAAAATCTACAGTCTATATGAAGTGCTCACTCTCTGGCAGGTTGTGGACTCTCATTCCCAGCTGTCTGAAGTACGAGTGCTTCATGGCGTCTTCAGCAGAAATCCTCTTCTTTGATTCATACTAAAAACATTCAATACGCACATTAACATTTACGCATATCTTTAAATTTATTCAGCTTGACAATCTTTTAAAACTTACATTGAGGAAAGACAGTAGTAGCTCAGTCCCTTCACCATCGAGCCTAGAAGACACAAAAAAAATACCAAAAGAAAATACAGTGAGCTTTTATAAGAAGATAAAGCACAAATAGTTTTAAGGCTTGAGTCAGATTTAGTGCAGGAAAAAGACAGAAAAAAGTGGAGTACCTGGGAGCGTGGTTGATGATCAGCTGAGGTTTGTATTTGGGAAAGTTGTAAGATTTAAACTCTTCAATGGATGAGATTCCTGGCCAGTTCTCTTCTGTGGGCGTGCCTGTCAAAAATAATCATAATCCCTTTCAAAATCTCTCTCACATAAACTATACAAAACTTAAAAACATGATGTACTTTCTAATCAGTTATAATGTTGTTTCCTCATCAAAAACATACAAGGAGATATGTTTTGTTTCATTCACTTTCGTTGAACACATAAACCCTAGATGTTTATGCTGTGTTCTTCTCTCAAATAGAAAACACTCTGTTTCACCTTGTGATGACATGTGGTAAAACAAGAAGTGCTCCACTGTGTTTTTAAACTCTACACACCTTTACTAGAATCATTTGGATGGTTTCAGCATTGGAATTGCCAATCTCTATTGAACAAAAAGGTAAAATGTAGCTGTTAACTTGAAAATTACTGCTACATGACATCACAAGGTGGAGCAGAGCATTTTGAGTGTTATGTAGATTCCTAATAAAGGGTTACTCAAACACTGTGTGTACTCAAACTCTGAGAATGAAACAAACACACAAACACAACACAATACTCCAAAATGGCTAAAATCTCTAAATCTAAAGAGTCAGTTTTGGGTATTATAAGACCTGTAAATAAAATGCAATTATGCCATTTTGATTTACAATTGAAAATGATATAAAAATAGATTTATCCGTATGAAAATGGCATAGGCTGAATTCTTACCCAGTAACCTAAAGATGAGGTGAAGCTCGTCTTCTACTGTGGAACCCGGAAACAATGGCCGACCTGCAGCCATCTCATAGAAAATACAACCCACTCCCCTGAAATCACAAGGAAAAAATTACATGGGGTGATTATTTTACTATGAAAAGACACATTTACAATTACATTATAGTGCTATACTTAAGCCTAAGCATACTTGTCCCAGCTGAAGTCATACATTGAAAACTACTGCTTCACATTCCATGAGGAGGTAATAACATTATAATATGGCTTAAAGCTCAGAAGAATCAGTTTAGTATAATATAGGAACTTTAATATCGGAGTCAAATCATTGTGTCATTGATCTTGGCAGTATGAATTATACCTCTTCAGACCAGAACCTTGAGATTGAAAATGACTTCAGGATAATGATCCAAACATCCTGACGTACCACCAAATATATATATTTTTACTTCAATGTATCTTTAGACATTTTTCTGATTGTTAGCCATTTCCTCATTCTACGACCACTCGCTGTGCTTTACTATTATGACAAAGGTCTTCTTATTTAACAAAATTAACATACCACATATCAATCTGTGTGGAGTACTCTGACGATCCCAGTAAAACATCAGGAGGTCGATACCACAGAGTCACCACTTCATTTGAGTATGTTTTGGTTGGCACTGACTTCGCCCTCGCCAAACCTACCAATGAACACCAAATAAACAACATCAGCATATTGAGGTGTGAATTTTCCTAGGGACAATTTACACTTAATTCTGATTCTTACCAAAATCAGCCAGTTTGAGCTCCCCCCTGTCATTGATTAGCAGGTTTTGTGGCTTCAAGTCTCTATGCAAGACTTTTCTTTTGTGACAATAAGACAGACCTCGCAGGATCTGGAATAAGAAAATCTAAAAAAAACAAAACGCAAGAGAAATACATATTAAAACAAAATCATAACATCGTAGGTCTGAAATGGCTTTGTTGAGCAGTGGAGATGTTGCTTAAGATTACAGGGCACAGATACAGGCAGTAATGACAGAGGAGAGGGTCTCACTTTCACATTGTGCATGCTCATTATGTTCCCACAGTCGTCCATGTACTGCTTCAGATCTTTATCCTGAAAAATACAGAAAAGAAAAAACACAATAATATAAGGAACTAGATTATGTATCTAAAAAAATAATATAATTTTAAACCAACCATAAAGCAACTTAATTACACAATTGTATTTTATTAGACATAATGTATGTTATAGCTTATTTTTCTGTGATGCAAAAAAGATATAAGACCTTGAAATTGCAAATGTTATTTAAACCTCAGGCTTGTCCATAGAGAAGCCTTCTTATTTACCGGTACATGGTGAGAGAAAAACTACTGCATATAGTATTGTAAGGTTACACAGGACTAGATGAAAATTAGCTTATAGTTAAATTTGGTTTGTGCAATACATTTATTGTGCAATGTTCCTGTAAATAACTAACTAACTAACTAAATAAATAAAAATAAAGGTTGCATGCCAAACAATTGTCCTTATAAGACTAAATATGCATTAAACACAAATTCAAGCTTAATGTTGGTCAGTATTGATCTTTTTGGTAGTGGAATAATACATAAATTATTACAATAACAAATATATTATAATCAAGTATATTATACACTAACCAAGTATTCAAAGACGAGTGTGAGGCTCTTGTCTGTGTGGACGATGTCATGTAACGTCACAATGTTGGCGTGTTTCAAGTCCTTCAGTAATGACACTAAAAACAAAAATAAAATACATTAATACATTATGTTAAGACAAAAAATATAATAGAAAAGTATCATTGTTGCTATTTGCACTGTACGTAGGCCTGTCATGATAATTACTACATCAATTTATTAGTTGGTCAGTACTGAGACTTTTTTTTTTGGCAATATGAGAAGCTTTGAGCAATGTAAGGTTGAATTAATAACTTCTATGACTCATTACAGGTGCAAACCAAGTACTAAAGTGTTCTGCTATTTATTTATTGCAGTTTGTGTGGTTTTTTTTTAACAATGTAGTTATAATGTTTTTTGTGGTATAAATTTGCTCTTGGGTTTGTATTTCAGTAGCACTATCAGTACTATTGCTTATTGTCTACAATGTCTTCATCAATATATTGTACTTCAAACTTTGTTATCATGACAGGCCTAACTTTAGGGAGTAGAAGAATATACCTTCTCTGATGGCAGTGCATGGCGCCCCTTCTTCATGCTCCAGTCGAATTTCCTTTAGCGCCACCAGGTTGTCCGTGAGTTTACTGCGCCCTTTGAACACTGTGGCATATGTACCCTGAAAACATGTCATTTGAATTATTTTAAGTCAACAAAATATTGTATGAATAGGACATATCATATATCATATCATATATATATCATATATCATAGTCTTAAGTCTTCATTCTTTTTACCTCTCCCAATTTGTCTAGCTTAATGTAGGTCTCCAACTTCCCAAAACCAATCTCCGACTAAAGAAAAACAAAAGAATAAAAAGGCAATTTATTGTGAGAGAAAACCACTCCACAAAGCAAGCATTCCTCCTTAACAGTTTTGTAATTACAAAGCATTTCAGGTTACAAGACAACAGCTAAAAGCAAATGACTCCAGACTCAATCAATCCTTCTCCCAAATGCAGTTTCCATGGCAACAGGCAGAGGTTGCGAGAGTCATAAATGAAGACAGAGAGAGACCCAAAAGGTTTACAGACCAGAGAAGCTCGTCGAGATCGTCTGCTCAGAGGCTGGTCGAAGGGGGGGCTGCTCAGCTGAAGTTTCTCCAAGTATCCATCAGGGATCCGGATATCAGCGGGCAGGGACAGGCGCTTGTTTAGGTCCTACAAAACATGAGGAAGAAGCGCTATTTTAAAAGGAACTGTGCAAGACTTCTTGTTTTAAATTCTATAAACATGTCTAAATCAAATACAGCCAACTTGAATTTTCATTTCACAAACAATGGTTATGATTGCAACCGGTATCCACGTTCAGCTGTGTGAATGAATGAGTGACGTGAATATTCGATACAGTTACTTTAAAAAGCTTATATAAGAGAGAATTAACGCACCAAAAATCATTCCTGATGTGCAGAGGCTGAGACAGAAGACTCAAAAGCATAAAGCAGCATTGCATAATTTGGCAGCAGATGTGACAAAGGCATTGTAAAATTATTGTCTTTAGAAAACCAGTGTGCTTGCTTTCTTTGTCCTTTCTAAAATCTTCTATCGCATATTGTATTTTGTTTATTTTAAGTAAAATTAAGCTCTTTCATTGTCATCATACAAGCAAGTGATACAATAAATGACTTCAATCAGATTACATCAGAAGGAGGGAGGGCTAATCTGGCCACCATCGTGCCATAAAACAACAAATTTGATTTAGCCACACAAGATAAGAGTGGACTGAGCGAAGGCGTCTGAGGTAAAATAAACAATGCGATGAGTCAAATGTCAAACCGCTACACAAATAATTGCTGTAGCTATCCCCACAAGGTTTAATATGCTAATGTTAATAAGAATAACATAAATAAGATAAACTTTTATCTCAGGGAAGCAATATTAAGCTCTATATTTCATAATTTCTTAATGTGATGTGTATCATTTAAAACATACTTCATTAAAGTTTTGCAGAAAATCTTACAAAGAAAAAGGACATAAGACATGCAGCATTCTTTTGGGAGACTCTGGAGGTATGCACATCTCTCCACACAGATAATTTTTAGCCTGTTCCCGGGACAATAGGTTTGTCTCTAGGGGCACTAGTATGGCTCATTAAACCTGCGCCTGAAGGCAAAACCGTGGACTCAACCAAAAACTGAAACTCACACAAGAGAAATGGGTTTATATAAAAGGCAGCGTGTACAAGTTCTTTTGTTTTAGTGTCTGCATGTTCGTGCAAATTGATATTGATACTTTGCAGTGACATCATGCTGGGGGTGCTCTACATGTAAGTGTATTGCTGGAATGTTCACCATAGTGCACACATTGGAAAACACTGTCAAAGAGGCAAAGTTTTAAGATAGTTTGAAAACACATTTTATACTTTTCCAGGAGCCTGTGATAATTACGAGTGTTCATGGTCTTTTTTAGGTGTTTGATTTTCAACAAAAAGTTAAAGTGACTAACTCAAAAAACTCAGTAATGTTATTTGACAGGGACCTGTTTAAAAGTACAAGATTTGCTCACCTGTTGTAGTTCCAACTAACTCTGTTCTTTTTGGACAGATGAAAGTTTAACAAGCCTCAGACCGAGCAGTGCTTACATTTAGCGCGACACTCCGAGGGCATGTTGATGATATCAGCTGTATCAATAGTTCTTATCGTTTTAAAGTAAATATTAAAACATATAGATCTGGTTAGTCCTAGTTTAGATGTTGCCCAATATTGGTCCTGGTTTAGTTGGGCAATTTGGTTATTATTATATTATTTCATAATAGCAGGAAATAAATTTGACCAAAACATTCATATTGGGAAGGTAAAAAAAGGAAAGTGTCTAGCACATGAGCAAAACTACAGACATTACCAAAAGTAGGCATCGAACCATTAACCTTTTAAGAATAATGCATTGCCAAGCAGCTGTGTGTGGCTCATGTCACTAAATAGCTGTTATTTTCTGCAGAGAACAATGCACACTGCCGCCTCCTCATGTACTTTCTGTTTAAAATAACCATCTCCTCCAGTCCCCCCATAGAGACACATCAGCCAAAGCCTCCAGCAGGTTAAAAATACATGGAGTGTGACAGTGGATACAGTGGTACAGCTTCTATCTATCTACACAATGTAAAGAAAGAATATTGAGTCATAATTCATATCGGTTCATGCAGATTTGGCAAGTAAAATTTTTATTCATCTAAATTAATTGCTATATCCTTTGCTTATTCTTTCATGTTATCTTGTGATTTTCCAAAGGGATAAAAAAAAAAAATGCAATTAACAAATGACAGATTTATAATTTTATTGGATTAGGGGTAGGGTTAGGGTTAATTAAATCCAATTATTGTCAAATCTACACAAATTCAGATTAATATTCTGCATTAGAAGTTATTTTTAAACTAGAAACTAGCAAGAAATGTGATGAAACACTTTGGGTAAACAAAGTTGTACACAGAAATAATCCAACTATTGTCAAAACTACCCATATCCAGATTACAGTACCTGGGTTTAGACATATCATATTTGAACAAATGTTAACCCATGCTAAACGTGCATATTGTTGCTGGTTATTGACACAGCGTGCTCTTATAGTGATGTTATTGTTATGATAGATCTATTTTAAGAATAAATCAGTAGAGCCCAGAGGAGTGGAGCCTTTTGTCTGACATGGGAGAACAAGGATGAGAGGTGTAAAAATACACTGGAGTTATATTTAGATCAATATAAATAGATAGATCACTGTCTGTCTTGTTTTTCTCTTCTAACCATGTTCACGGAGTCTGTATTATTAAAAAAGTGCACAAGGTAACTTTTCTAGTGGCATTGAACTTTTGCGTTTTATCAGTTTTTCAGGTGTTTTCATTGTGATCACTCTTATTGTGACCAGGACCGCCTCTGTAACTCTGTTTATCATTTAAATCAAGGAAATAACATGTCCATAGAGATACACAGTGGACCATCCACCAGAAATGTTGCATAATGCACCTTTAACCCTTTTTAACAGAAAGACTGTGTAAATGGTCATATTTATAGCGCTTTTCCACCTTTAAGGCACTCAAAGCACTTTACATCAAGAAACCACTCACCCATTCACACACATTTATGCACCAGTGTACACAGACATTGGGGTGATGCAGGTTAAGTGTATTGCTCAAGGACACAAGGATTGTATTCATCTGTGGAGTTGAGATCAGGAGCAGGAATCAAACCGCTGACCTTCGGATCAGAGAATATGACCAACTGGGATACTGTTGCTCGATGTATGCTGTAGTCTGTTCCTGGTATATTCAATATTGTGGCAGTAAGATAACCAGCTTTTGAAGGATTACTGATACAGAAAATAAATAAACATTGCCATTTTTGTTTCATGTGGACAGGCCAAATAATTCCAGAAATTAACCACCACACTGTATCATGACTTTTGTATTGTCACTTTTTAATGAAGTTTTTCTTTCTCAAGTCTGACCTACTCCACACCTAAATGTGAAATAATCTGAATGCAGCCAACAGTGCAAAACCATAGCTTTATTGATTTAGGTAAGACTGCAGTAGCTAAGCCTTTACAAAGAAAAGGCCTGTGAGTGTGTTTGAAGTCAGTAATCGATGCCACACTTTGGCCTCACCCTCCAGCCAGAGATTCATTATGTGCTTCACCTGCTTCAAAGACGGCAGCAGCACCCTCCACCTTGATCAGTGCTAATGTAGCTAATGTGTGTGTGTGTGTGCACTTGTGTACGTGATTGTGTGTGTGTGTCTGTGTGTGAGCGAGACACAGGTCAATACAGACAAATAATTGAGGTAATGCAATGAAATTAAACAGGTAGAGGAGCTGCAGTGCAAGCTGAGGAGAGGGGGAAATATTTAGGACAGTGAAATGACAGCTCTAGCTTCCTATAAACCTTCTAATCTGTCATCCATGTTGTTTTATTGTTGTTTCTATGAATGTTGTAACTATTTGTTAATCTGCTGGTCAGGACTCCCTTGAAAAATAATTTTTTAATCTCAGTTTCCTGGTTAAAAAAAATGTTGTAAACAAATATGGTTTTCAGTCATATTTCATTCATTTGAAAGAACACATAAAATAAACCAAAACAGCATTCTGTAACATGTTCTACCTTTGTAATAACTACACTTCAAATACCATATTTTCCGCACTATTAGGCGCTCTGGATTATAAGGCACGCTGTCATAGAATGGTCTATTTTCAAACTTTTTTCACAAATAAACTGCACCGGACTTTAAACGAAACAACAGTTTGATGGGTCAGTCGGACTTTGTTTGGCTCGTTCACAGTGACTCTCAGCTTTGTTCAATTGTGGCGTGTATGGAAGATGCTGTCTGGTGACCGCTGGATTGTCGGAGTGTTCGCAGTGACTCAGTTCAGTTGTGGCTAGGTGGCACATTGCACTCGCTTTTTCGGTTCGTTCCTCCGTTCCGTTCCTCGTCAGCATAAAGTGATGAGTGTGGCTGCGGGTGTTTTTCGCTGCGTGGTCGCTGTCTGCTCCGTGTGTGTTTGCGTGTGGGTGCTGCGGCTTTGTAGTTTACTGAAGTCGTGCTGGGACATCCGAGTGGATTCGTGTATAGGGCACTCTGGATTGCGGGGCGCGCAGTCGTTTTCTGATGGGGTTGGAAGCTTAAGAGCATGCCCAATAGCCCGGAAGATATGGTAGTTAAAAAGTAGAGCCCGACCGATATATCAGTTGGCCGATATGGGCACCTGGAGACATATCGGCTATCGGCCGATATGCTTGCTGATATGGGCCGATATTTCACGTGGGCATGTTATGCCTCGTTATAAATCTTAGACTCTCTACATTATGTTCATTTAATCCAATTTACAGACAGATAAATGTCCTAATATGTGGCTCCACATCAGTATTTATCTGCGGTGTAATTTGTCTGTGTGTTCATACTGTCCCTGAACACACCCCCAGAGTCACGTCACTTCACTCACGTGTTCTTGTTTACACCCGCAGCGGTGCGCAACACTGAGATTATATTATTTTTACGGACAATCGGTTTGAGTCTGGATTAAAAGGACTTTTATTAGTGCAGAATTGTGATGTGAGGAGGAGCCTGTGTGAGCGGTGAGTGTTGGAAATACATCGACTTTGAAGCTAGTTTTGGCTATTTGTTATTAGCGATTAGCTGCTGTAGCTCCCGCACATAAACAGGCTGTTTTCTATTGGTCTATTGTAAAGTGAATGTATTGGCCGTGTATTTGCTACTGGACCAGCATTGATATGTAAATGAGCTGTGAATAGACGTGTGAATGATCCACATTTATGCATATAATTAATTACCGCGGCGTGCACGTTTTTACGGCTAAAGGCTAATAGCGATAGTTTCTTTACTACTTGGGAGTTATGGGTCAGTCGCGATCGAAGCGGCTCTTAGAGCCGGCTCTTTGAAGCGAACAACGGGAGCATGTTTCTTATTGGAAGCAGTTTTTTCTCTTCAAGTCGCTTGTAGACCCGTAGTTTGACAGCAGCAGCTGAAAACGAAACTTTCAGAAATCTGCGTGTGCACAGGATAAAAATAAGTGCATATTTGGCTGCAATTCAGCATAAAATGAATAAACCAGGACTAATCTTGGGCTCGAGTGAGGGACAGACCAAGTCCCGACACTCAGTCCTGGTTCAGTTCTGGTTTAGTCCCGTTTTACACATGGTTTAAATCTGTTTTAGTCCTGGTTTAGTCCTTTTTCAGTCCTGGTTCAGTTTTGGTTTAGTCCTGCTTGCAATAAAACAATCTCAAGAGTCCCTTGGGAGCCAAAAGAGCCGGCTGCTTTAGTGAGCCGAGCCAAAAGAGACGGTTCTCCAAAAAAAAAAACTGGAATACCCATCACTAGTAGCTAGAATGTGATGCAAAAATGCCATTAGGCCAATCTACTGTATGTAAATATGACGTAAAGAGTCAGAATAACAATAAATGTTGCCTAAATAAACCCAATTTAGAATCCACTAGAGCCAAACCTAAGTTTTTTAAACAATTCAAGATTTACAGTGAATTTTTACATCACTAAATATATCGGTGATTATATCGGCTATTGGCAGCTCCAACTCCCATTATATCGGTTTCATATCGGCCACAACAAAATCCATATCGGTCGGGCTCTATTAAAAAGATTTAATTCATAAGGAAAATAGAGTTTATTTAGAATTATTGAATATTAGCATGCTAACTACTTAATGAATAGTCTAACTTTAACAATGACCCCTAACCCCTTAATTAAATACTTACTAAGCCGGTTCCTTTTGTATCTCTTCTTAATTCTGATCATTGCACATGAGAAACACCCCACAAGAGCTAGAGTTTTGGGAATGCTTTAATCCAGTCATAATAATAACAATTTAGCCATAATCTCTACTACCAAATATCATGCACTTACATATAGATTTTAGTGTGTAAAATGTTAATTTGTTCTCCATGTCCAATAAATTGCTTTGTGAGTTGTAATGGTAACGTAAATTCTAATAAACAACAAACAAAAGTCAGTGAACCCAATGATGTATTATGGCTACAATGACGCACAGCACAGTTAAAGCTAATGCTGGCCTATTTCTCTCTATTTCACATTTGATTTGCTGAGTTTGTGGAAGTTACTGGATCCTTGGGGCAGCTCAGCCAATTTATTTTCTCTTACAATGCAGAATTTTAGCCTTTTACTTTTGGACAATATTAAATTTTCAGTGAGTGCAAACGAGAAACTGGAATTGCTTCGGGGGGGGGGAATTTTGGTTTGGAGTTTAAACAAAGACTGGCATTTCAGAGTCAAAGCGTAAAACGTAATAAAAACATCATCATCTTTTTTTTCAAATTCCTAAGTTAAATGCTGGATCCATTTGATTTAGAGAATTTGACTATTTTTGTACTTGTGTAAAGTTAGCATTTAGCTCCCATCAGCAGCAATACGGGCAACTATTAAACTACTTTGCATTTTACATAACAAAACTTGCATTATATAACGTTTCTGGTGAAGGGTCTGCCACCTGCTCATCTCCATGGAGATGGTATTGCTCTGCCTAGAATGTTCCAGTTTCGGGTCAGATCTGTGGAAAGGTGTGCCACTCACAGTGACATGCATATTTATGGGGGTATTTTTAGCAACCAAAAACACCTAAAATTGAGTTTCCTTCCTCAAACCTACTTTAGAACATATTGCGTTTGTATGGCATGCTTCTTTCAATGTTCCACTGATAGCATAATTAAATCTAAAGTGATACTGAAAATGGGCTGTGAGTTTCCCATATCCTGTATTAGATTATCCAATAGCCCATTCCCTCCATGTGAAGATGCTGAGGTTGTAGACAGTGTTTGCAAAAGTTTTTGATGATGGAGCGTCTCTTCTCAGCAGCAGCAGAATCCCAAAGGACATTATCAGAATCTGCTCCAGACATATGAGTGCATTTACAAACCAACAGCTAATCCAGCCCCCTCTTTACCTCCTACGTCCAAATATGAGGGGGAGGCAGAGACATATAGAGGGCGCGAGGAGGATATGCCATGTAAGCATTTAATCATTACTAAGAATGTATAAGAATGAAAGAATGTAAACATTTACTTTATAATAATATTTTTTACCTTTTAAGACATTCACATTCAGAGGTGGGAAGAATACTTTGAAAAATATAATTAGTTACCTGCTTTAAAATGTATTTTGTAACATATTTCAATACAAGGTCCAATTAGAGTACTCTATTCTGAATATTTTTACATCATGTTGCATGTAAATTGGTCTAAAAACACAACATAGAAAGTTTTATATTTATTTCACTGTTTATTATGCATTCCCATCACTAATTGGAAAAGTAAAAATAACACATGCACTCACCACAAGAGCTGTGTTTTCTAATTTCCTCACTAATACTATGCAGTTAGAAGCCAAAATTGTATGATGAATGACTAAAATGTATTCCTTTAGTTTTAGGAAAGGTACTGTATTCTAAACACCAGCAAATGAAAAAGTAACTGTACCAGAATACAGTTACTCATAGTTTGTATTCTGAATACATATTCTGGGTACATGTATTCAGTTACTTCCCAACACTGTTCACATTTGAGTTTCCAGCTAACCAGTGTTGGCTTATTAATTTTGGCTTTAAAATGTCAAATATAATGATTAATGAATGATGTAATAATATAGACGCTATTTAATATTAATATGTGTTACCTCCATGGAAATACGTCGGTGGATCCTGTTCCTCAGACAGACTCCTGTGGGAGACTGGACCTCGTCTGAAGAGGTTCCCGAGGCCTGGTCACTCTCTCCATCTGAGCCCATCTTCAGGTTCTCATGCACGATATCTGAAATTATTAGAATTATTTCTTTAGAATAGCTTTTAAACTTAAACTTTTTTCTATATAAAATTCACAGTTTTTATCATTCCTGTATTATTTTATTGTTCTTTTGACAGTTTTAAGATTTGTTTTGTGAAGCGTCTTTGAGTGTCCTGAGAAGTGCTAGATATAAATAAAATGTATTTGAATGTATTATTATTAAATCACAAAATAATATCCTTTTTTATAATATTTTTTTCTGTTGCAAGACCACTGTAGCTGCTGGAGTTTTGATATTTTGATGGTGAACTTTGCAAGTTGACATTTTCTTTTTAAGAGTAGTTTTCGAAAGAGCAATTCAGCTTTTAGTTACAGCGTGTTCATTCAGTGACTCATGCCATTTCCGCCTCCAATTAGGATTGTTCTGGTTTACAATGAAGGAGTTCTTGAGAGGATATCAGTTAGAGAGGACGTAAATGATCTATAGCTTTCATAATAGGCATTACAATATTTAGAAACTTTTACTTATTTGTGTAAAAAAAAGAGGGAAAATGTACACAAAACAAGACCAAATTTTCTATTACATGTTAAAGGGGCCATATAGCGCAATTTTATGATATACAGTATGTTATAATGCTGTTTCCTCATCAAAAAAATACCTGGAGTTTCATTCCATACACTCCATACACCTTCATTAAAATCATCTGGAAGATTACAGCCCTGGAACTATCTATCTCTTCTGAACTCAAAGATAAAAAGGTAGCTGTTAACTTGAAAACTGCTACTACATGACATCACAAGGTGGAACAGAGCATTTTGAGCTTTGGAGATGTAGACAGAGTAATAATAAAGGATTACTATTATTATTATAAGTGTAAATGAAATAAAACACAACTCCAGGTATGTTTTATATGAGATACCGACATTCTAACATGAGCTAAAGCTCATAAGAGTCAATTTTGTGTAATATGGGACCTTTAACAACACATTGCAGTTAAGATGTAAAATATTTCTGCAAGTTACGATTTCCTACGTGCCCTGAAAGCACCCCTGCCCACCCAGGGTAACCCTGAGGCAGATCTCCACTTCCTCTGCACAGAACCATAAAACTGTCCCAAGCGCAGAATCCCAGCTGTAAAACCCAAATAAGAGCCACAACCGCAGTCTCACACAAACAGTTAATGAGGGAGAAATCCACCCTGTCATCTCCAACCACACGCTTCTCATCACATGTGGAGGCAAAGAGGAGGAGTGGTACAAAGACTCCCTAAAATACCATATAGCTGCTGTTGATGGAGAATACACATTCAACTAGGGGCAATTTCACAGGAATTTTCATACCAGGAGAAAGTGGAAAAATCATCAAAACCTTTAAAGCTATAGAATCAGGAATATTGTGTGTATTAAAAAATAGTGTTGTTATTGAGCAAACTGCTGTCTCCTCAATCTGGGAAAGAGCAAGTAAACAAATATATGAACAAATATATGATCTGTGTTGTATTAATGGGAAAATAGTATAGTATGGGTTTATTGTACAGCTAGATGTATCATTCAATATATGAAAGATGGAACAGTTTCTGCATTACTGGAAAATGTGTGGTTATTTTTGTCTATATGATAAAATTTGAGACTTAAAAGGTCAAATTAATTGCTTCTATGACTCTTTACAAATACAAACTACAAGTACAAAAGTACATTCTGCTATTGAAGCTCATGATTTTTTAACAATATTGCACATTTATAATATTTTTTTTTTGTGATTTAAATCTGCTCTTGGGCTATCGCGTCACTGCATTAATTAGTTTCAGTATTCAGTACTGTTTATTGTCTAAATTTATTTGAGAAATATAATGCACTTCAAAATGTGTTATCATAACAGTACAGCAGTACAGCAGAAAAGGGAAGCAGTCTAGACTATATTAAAATACCATTTTATTAATGCAAGGTCAAAACGTCCAGCCTCCTTCTCAAAGGTAAAAGGTAAAGTTGCATCAAAATGATTCCAAAACACATTTCTTAAAAACTGCAAACCATTTTCCATTCTATTGACTTCTCCACTTGCCCCATTTCTGCTGTTTTCTTAGGCAGTGGCCCATCTGAACGACTGGTCCAACATTCCTGCATTACCTGCTCTCCAAGTGATCTCATCTGCTCTAGTTTCCACTCCTCAAAGACTCTTTTACAGCTAAATTAATAACCTTTTATTTATCTTTTTATTTCCTCCTTTTGTTCATATGAAATATGTTCATTATTGTTTTCTAAATACACAATACGTGTTGAAGACCCCTATAGAGGCAGAGATTTAGCTCTGCATTTAATATTAATTGCAGCTGTTGGGACTTTCTAATGAAGACAATTCCATCTGCAATTTCTACTCTAATTCTTACATTGCAATTAAAATATTTAAAGACATGTTTTCACACATTTCAGATGGATTGCCAAATATCTTCTGAATATCATTATTGGGATACTTATATTGAGAAATTATACTATTTCAGTATTGCCCGCAAAGTTTAAAGGTGCATTGTGTAACTTTTCTGATGAAAGGTCCATCAAATGCTTGTCTCCATGGAAATGTTGTTGCTTTGTCTGGAATGTTTCACCACATGATATTAAAACTTTCTATCTTCATGGAGACCAAACCAGACCAAGTTACAAGAGGCAACCCCACTCAGTCAGAAAGCCTGTTTTCTAGGTATTTGAGCTATAAAATGGACCCCAACCAAAAAGTCACATAGTGTACCTTTAATTATCGAAAGTAAATCTATACTTCTTTGGATGTATTGTCTTCATCACATGCACACAAGTCCTGTTCAGGCTTAAATTTAATGTAAATAAAATGTTCAGTGCAAAAATTATTTAAATTATATTTATATTATAATTATGTTTTTTTTGGAGCCAATTCTGTAATTCTCCACGTTCACCACATCATTTGTTTGATGCAACGTGACATTTCCACTGTTCCCGTTTCCAGTTTAATTTTGAGACATGCTGTTAACAAGGCTTCACACTTCCATCCGCACTGTCCCACTTGAGCGCCCTGTTTTTAGATCCAAGGCTTTCTAATTAGGACATGGTCTATTGGCAGCCCCTACTTTGCCACACTAAAGTGAAATTACAGTAGCTCTTCTTTAGTAAAGCTCCCATCTGCTTAGGACGTCTACGACAATGGTTATGAAACAGCAGTGTCATTAGAGCAAGGATTAGGGTTAAACTCATGAGAAAGGTAAAAAAAATAGTGTCAGGAAAAAGAAAAGTGTGTGTCAGAAAAGCTTGAAATAATTAGTAATTACATGTAATAAAAGGTGACAATGGCAAATTATCGACCGAGGTTGATTGATGGTCATTTTGTATTTCTTAACTGTTGGTGCAATTGTTCAAAAAATGTCTCCTTAACACCCAGCTTCTTACTTATGGTTTTGTAGCCCATTCCAGCCTTGTGCAGGTATAAAATTTTGTCCCTGACATCCTTTGACAGCTCTTTGGTCTTTCCCGTCTTGCAGAGTTTGGAGTCTGACTGACTGATTGATTCTGACAGCTCTCTTTTATACAGGTGACTAGTTAAAGCAGGAGTCTAATTCAGGTGACGAATAGATTAGGAGTGTTTAACTGGTCTATGGGAGGCAGAACTCTGAATGGTTGGCAGGGGATTAAATACTTATTTCACACAATGAAATGCAATCAATCAATATATTTTCTGTAATGCGATTTTCAGGATTTTCTTTTTGATATTCTACCGCTCAATGTTAAAATAAACCTACCATTAAAATGATAGACTGTTCATTTATTTGTCAGTGGGCAAACCTTCAGCAAATACTTATTTCCTCCATGCCATCTATTTATCAGGGACAATGCACATAAAAACACTGACCTACACCAAGACTTAATGTTTGTGCCATGTTATTTTATCAGAAGATAAAATGAAGTTCACGTTGCTTCATTCATACAAGGCAGCTTAAAGTGCAGGTTTGTTTGCTTAAAAGCTACTGTTTGGTAAAAATAATTTTAAAAAAATCTTACACACACCAAAAAATAGGGTTGAATTTTTTGGTGTGTGTGAGATTATATAGGTTGAATATATATGTTGAAGTATATAGTATATTCTCTTTCTTTTCTTCAAGCTAAGAACTAGGTAGACTACTTCCTCCTTTTACTGGGTAATAAAGAATTCATTTTAATATTGACTTCCGCACCACTTTTTGCAGCCCCCTAATTTGAGGTCAAGTCTTTCTCAGTTGAACACTTCTACCTTCTACTCCACCTCATTCAGTGAATCATTCTTCTTTCCACCTCTTACCCCTGGAAGTGCTGTAATTTCACTAATCACTCGTTTCTCTTTGTGTAATTTTTCTCTCTTGTTCTGTCGGATGAATCAGATCACACTAGAAATCATGTCATGCGTTTCCGTGTGGCCCCTCACACGTGTCACTGAAGCACATCGGCTGGCACTCGAGGGGCAGGCCTGATCGAAAAAGATGGGATTTGCCAAAACGAGGAAATTTGGAGGCAGTGACACACTTCCTGTCTGCTCCCGGATACCATCTGCTTCATGTGTGCTGGGCTGGAGTGAGTCAGAAATAATCACTGAAATCATGTCATTTAACAGGTTGCTGATGATGTAAAATGAGAACATATAAAGTGAATGTCATCTGCTCTGATAGAGAAATATTATATTTGTTTTTTGTTCCTTTCCGATCCGGTTCTTCCTTTCTGATTGGATTATTGATGACATGCTTGAGGACCAAAAGGACAGTTCCGCTCTGCTTGAAGCCTGCTCAGGTTCCGGAAGTAAATTTCCCATTCATTGATTTGAAATTCAAATAAAGGCATGACAGTGGCAAAGTAGCTATGTGGTCACAAATGTCCATGATTATGTTCATTTGCAGTGTACAAAGGTTAAGATATTGTGAGTTTAAATATGCTTCTTTCTTATGCTAATTGGTCAACACATAGCTGATCGCAAAGCTTTCAAACTCTTATTTAAAGTAAGAGTTATTGTCTTCTTCATATGCCCTGATGCGTTGACCTGTCCTATGTAACCAATATAGGACTTTTATAATATTTCCAACACAGTGCCTCAGACCTTTTTTGTCTTTTTTTAAAGTAGATTCTTATACTACAGGCACGGTCATCTTTACGGTTTGTCTTTTTATTATATATTAGATTGGATACATAAGGAAATATAGATTCAAATCTTGTGTATATACTTATATAACACTAAAGTTTGGGGGTGTTGTATGTTACCTAATCGGCTGCCGTTTCTGGGCATGGCCATGAAGGAGCCCAGAGATCCCCCGATGACACTGTGAGGTCGTCTGAGTGGAGGTTTTTTAAAGGAGCCCGTGTACTGGTGCAGGAAGGAGTGCATGCTGTGGGACGTGGGGGGCCGGCCATTCCTCATGAAGGGCTCTGAAACAAAACAATTAAACATAAGTCAACAGTGCTAAAGAAGAACCACCTCATAAACATGTAATAGATACCACTTCAACAAGGTAATAATCTGCTAAATCAATGCTTTAACTTTTAACCATGTTGTAATGTAAAATACAGACGAGTATATAGAGTTGTGTTTTGTTTTGTTCACACATTTGAGTAGTCCTGTATATTTGTTCATTCACAAGCACTCAAAACATTTAACATCCTTATTTAGGAAGGCCTTCTCTGTTTTTAAAGCCTTTGATCATTTCAGTGCTCAAAAAATGAAAACACAACATAAAAAGCTATAGCAGGTAATGTTATACCAACTATTATTATTTAAAGTTTCTATATAATCTAGTTAATACATACATATGAAAAATTCAAGCAAAACCAACACCAAAGATTGAAGCAAAGATTGATAATGAGTCTTTGTGCTGCTGTCAGGAACCTGCACCATAATTTGAGGACCACAAATATATATATATTTTTTTTTTATTACTTAACAATTTGTGGTATTGACAGGGCATAGTTTTTACACTATATGATAAATAGTTTATTGATCCTGAGGGAAATTCTAATTTAGCATCATTTTCACTGTGCTTCTCAGTCACCATTGTCTCTCAGCCAAAGATCTTAGTGAAGTTAAACAGGAGGACTGGTCAGATAGGGTCATTGGATCCAGTGGCCAGTTTGAGGGGAGTAATCGCCCTCTGGACAAAAAACTCCTCTGTGCCCTGCAGCTGCAGCATAGCAACAGCGTCGAAGGGAATCCGGGGAGCTCTGGAGATACAAGAGGAAAGCCTCTTCTACACCTCACTCTTACTTTGAGCTGTTGTTTCAGTTAGTGATGAGACAGGCGATCCCCTTGAAGTATTTCCACTGGAAGGTCTTCTGCCACATTTGTTGTAAAATGTCTGTAGCATCTCAGAGGTCCATAGCTAGTTCCTAGTATTTGTGAGTTGTTAAAATGCTGTTGCTTGGTCTTTGACATTTCAAACTAACAGGAGCTATTTTTAAAGTAGACAGGCCCTTCATTCTCACACCTTTGAATTTTTAATGCAGAGTGTAGAGTTGTCGCTGTCTTTTGAGGCTCTGCGCTGAGTTGAAAAGGTCACAGGACATAAAGCTGGCAGCAGAAACAGGAAAGGCTGTAGTAAACCATTTTCTGCCTGCACGCAATAATGGACAGTCTGGATCTCTGGGCACCTTCTTATTTTGTAGCAAAGCACTCAAATTTTACTCTCTTCATAAATTAAATATGTATGCATTAGAAAAAAATACATTGGAAAACTTTCTACTTCAGAGTTGTTCCTACATCAAAAAGATGCCTAAGTTCCTACATCAAAAAGTGCCTGAGTGTTGCTTCTGAGCTGACATGTAATACTTTTATATACTTCTATAAGTTGGTGCTTTGGTTCTCAAGACCAATCAGAAAGCAGAATAAGCCTCACATGAGTCTCTCAATGCTGAAATCCAGCTGGTTAAAACCTAAAAGGACTCTCTGATCTGAATCCTCTACCTAAACCCCAGCAGCAGTTCTGAGTTTTCACATGAGACATGGCCTTTCCTTACACTGGAAAACACTCAAGTGCTCTGTATTCAGGTTAAGGTACTGGCAAAACATTTGAAGTTGTGAATGTAGTAACTTAGCATGCAGGCTACAAATAGTTCCTTTAAAGTGTAAATGAGAATTACAAAAACCTAGTGAAAGAATAGTTAAAACGTTTTTTTGAAGGTCAAATAATCCAATGAAGGTTAAAAAAAATCCAATGTGACTGTACCCTCTTCGTCTGCTTAGACTGACAGTGGCCAGTCTTAAGACTTAACAATTTAAGGTAAAAAAGTTTGCTATGCATTACTATGTCTTTGCCAACCAATGATCAAGTTCTGCACTGTTAGCTGGACGTATTATTTATTCAGTACATGTAGAACTATACTCAGTTGTAAATAAAGGAATGAATACACTGAAGGGTGTGTTGAATAGTTCATCCTTGGTTAGCCAATAGTAGCTCACAGAAATGCAGCAAGAAACCATCAGAGTAACATTTTAAGAAAATGTAGTTTTTATTATATCAATCAAAAGTGTGTAAAAGAGCATATAGGTGTGCTCATAAATCCCACAGTTCATTTTCAGAGTGCTAAAACAGAAAAGCATGTGTTCATTTTGCACAGTCAGAATAGCTTGAGAAGTTGTGAGACCTATAAATAAACAAATACCTTAGCAACAATATGACGCCAGAGGTTGTACCTAGCAGCTCAATAGTCTACTGTACAAGTCTCAAGGCTGTGTCTCCATAAGTTACATAACACACACTCTCTTCACTCCAGTCCAAGTCTCTCTCTGTTTTTATCAACTTCATTATTTAAAGCCCCACGGGATGAAGCCGACACAATCACAGCCCTTACGCATTTGTGAGTGAAAGAGGGGAGAGGAAGAGGATATGCTAAAAAACAAGAAACTACTGGTATTTCCTTTGCTATGTGTCATCCGTGAGGGATTGCCTACAAATATTTACTACAAGAAGACCACTAAATCGCAGATGGAATACTAAGCACTCCGGAGCTGTGTAGCCTTCGGTAATAAGATTGGAAAATGAATGTATTACTACTTTTTTTCCTTATAGTTCAATATATGAAATCTGGAATTATATTATTATTTTGGGCCTCAGTATTTATCGTGGGTACGTTTTCTTTGTAAAAGCGGGGAGATTTTTGTTATTTTTGTTGTAATACAATAAGATTTGAGCTGTAGAGAGTTGAATTTAGTATTCTGTGGCTAGTTATTGGTACATTCTGCTACTTATTCTTTGCAGCTCATGCGTTTCAATGATAATGCCTTTTTTTTTTTTTTAATGGTCGACTAGGATTATTTTGCTTTGTTTAAATCTTTATTTGTGGCCTAATGTAGTTTCAATATGATCATTTATTGTAATATTTCTCTGTGACAATATATGGTGAATCAAAATGTGTTATTGTGACAGACCTATGAACCACATGCTTTTTATTGACAGAAGATTGACAGTAGATTTCAATTTAAAAGGCCCAGGCTGATCATTGACACTTAGAATTGATTCAGTCTCAATCTTCATAAAAATTAATCTAATTGCAAAGCCCTATGTGTACCTAACAGTGTTGGGAAGGTTACTTTTAAAACGTATTCCCCTACAGATTACAGATTACATACCCCAAAATGTAGTTTGTAATGTAATCCATTAAATTACTTAAATCCAATACAATCCAATCTACTTTATTTCTATAGCACATTTCACAAACAAACTGTTTCCAAAGTGCTGCACAAATACATAAAAAATAACAACAATATGATGATAAAGTAAACCTCTAAAATAATACTAGTCTTTTATTTAAAAATAAATAAAAGACACAGAGGACCACACAACTCACGCGGTGTTAAAAGCCAGAGAATAAAAGTGGGTCTTCAGACGAGATTTAAAACTCTCCACTGTGGGTGCTGCTCGAACGTGAAGGAGCAGATCGTTCCAGAGTTTAGGGCCGACCACAGAGAAAGCCCTGTCCCCTCTGGTTTTAAGTCTCGTTTTAGGCACCCTGAGCTGGAGCTGGACCTCGGACCTCAGAGCTCGCGCAGGGGTATAAATTTGGATGAGGTCCGAGATGTACTGTGGAGCCAGTCCATTCAAAGCTTTAAAAACAAACAATAAAATCTTAAAATCAATTCTAAAATTAACAGGAAGCCAGTGCAAAGATGCAAGGATTGGGGTTATGTGTTCTCTCCTTTTTGTTCCTGTTAAAAGTCGCGCTGCAGAGTTTTGGACTAACTGTAGTCGATAAAGTGCGTTTTGCGAAATGCCGGAATAAAGTGCATTACAGTAGTCCAGGCGTGATGAAATAAAAGCGTGCATAACTTGTTCAAATAGTTTAAAAGATAAAAAAAGTCACAAATGATAAAAACTTGATTTTAAAACATTGTTAATCTGTTTATCAAATTTAAAATCACTGTCTAAGATGGCGCCAAGGTTGGTGACTGTGGGACGAACATAATTTTTGAGGAATCCCACATTAGTGAGGGAACTGTTGGCCCCAAACAGTATCACCTGTTAAAGTAAGTAACGTACTCTGAATACTTTGAATTACCTGATATTGTCATGCTTTTTAAAACTACACGAATGTAGCAACCACACCCTGAAAATTTGTGTTCTCTTCAAATTGTCTGTTGAGCCCAAGTCTCCATGAAGAGGTACTTGTTTGCTGTAGAGTCGCAAAGACTACGATATCTTAACATAAAAAGTTTTATCTGCTAAAAGAAAATAAAAAGACCAATCTTTCCTTAAATATATTATTGATAGAGAAATTATTTTTATATGAGATCACTGCTGCCTTCAATTATGTCCACCCCACTGTTAGGTATGATATTGTTTAGCCCTGGTTTAGCCCTGGTTTAGTCCTGGTTTAGTCCTGGTTTAGTCCTGGTTTAGTCCTGGTTTAGTCCTGGTTTAGTCCTGGTTTAGTCCTGGTTTTAATCCTGGTTTTAATCCTGGTTTTAATCCTGGTTTTAATCCTGGTTTTAATCCTGGTTTTAGTCCTGGTTTAGCCCAAAATGTGAAAACAGGAAAATACCATTTATTTCAACAAAGTAACTGTAATCCAATTACCTCTCATTGAAACAGTAACTGTAACTGAATACAGTTACTCATGATTTGTACTCTGATTATGTAATGCCGGTACATGAAATCTGTTACTCCCCAACACTGGTACCTAATCAAAAGTGCAATATAATATCTTACTATATATAATATAATTAAATCTTACTGTTTCTCTATCACAAAGTCTACTAACCTTGTGAAAGGTATTTGATTTTAGTATTAGTTTAGCAGATAATAACATTTCCTGTGAATTTAAAACTGGATTTGGGAAAAATATAGGAAACTGAACATCACAATTGCAATATTACTGAGTCGTACCATTGTCCATGGTGCCTCCGTCCTCTATGGTCATCTGTTCGGCCAGCTCTGACAGAGACTCATCGATGGTTTGACTTGAACGAAGCGTTAACGACAAGCGCTTCTTAAACCGCTTCATCTTCTCCATCACAGGGAACTGCACCACCTACAGGACAAAGAGATGAACAGGACATTAAAACTATGCATCAGACCCAGGTTATAGGGGATTGATTTTTGGTCTATACACAGTCATTATTTCTATTGTAAACTGTAAATTTGAGGAAATATTCTAAGATTGGGGGAAAAAAACAATGAAACAAGAAATGAACAATCCACACTTTTTAACCAACCAATACCAAACAACTAGGCAGGCTGGCGCCACCTAGTGCCTCTGCTCATTTTAATTTCTCTCCAGCAACTAGGTCAGGAATCAAAACTTCACAAAAACCTCGGAAATGCAAGTTCGGGCACCAGCCAATCAGCGAAGAGCCATATATTCTGTGTTGTCAACAATTCCTGACATCGAGGATTTAAAGCTGAAACAAAGAGAATGTTTGATGAATTTCATCAAGGGGAAAGACGTTATTGCTCTTCCTATGGGATTTGGGAAAAGCTTAATATACCCATTAGTGGCGCGTTACATACATGACTACCAAATAGCAACAATTGGTTAAATGATAAAAAACCTGCCTACCGTTGAGCAAACAAATTCTAACACTGCAAGGCCAGGTTTCTATGAAGTGAAACTGGCTGATGAATCAGGCTACCACAACAAACACCTTCCTTAAAACACTAGAAACAGTCTATCAAGTTGATCAAAATGTGCAATTTTTTTAATCAATAACTCTACAACACCATTGTAAGGACCCATATACAAATAATATGGGATGTTTAGAGCTTCCATAGTGTCCAGTAATTGTACTTTTAAACTTTTAAACACAAATTAATTGTCCCAATACCAGTATTAATGTTGGTGCACCATCATGATTAACTGTGAGGCATATGTGGCACTTTTTTGTTTGCTTTTTAAGTAAATACAGTGTTGTTACGAAGCACTGAGACTGGCACAAGATTTTGATTATATTGGCTTTTATTCATGTCTTCAAAAACAGACACAAAAAAACCTTCACACTTCCACAACAGCTCATTTTACGCTGCATAAATTCACATTTGAGAGGGATTCCTGTGGCCTCGAGTTGTCCAAAATATCTCACAACTCATAAATAAACCATCCTCTGCTTTTAATCCAATATTCAATCCCTTTGCAAATGCTCTAAAGGCACATCAATAAACCATGGGCCAGGCATAAATAAGGCATAACTATCACAGATTTAAACACTGCACTTTCCACTCGTGTTCACACATTTAGCTGCTGAAAGGCAAGAGGCGAATCACTTTAGATGTGTGACTAAGGAGGACCTATGCTCAAAGCAAGATTAACACATTTTACAAGTAGACATATGACATGGCTTACAAAGGAGATCATAAAACTAGACAGAGTTCATAGTGTACTGTTGATGCTACTGCTAGGTTTTTTAGTTCCTGGGAAAAGAAGCTAATGCTACGTGGACTTACTCAAATGTTAATAACATGAGAGAGATACTTTTATTTATAACTTGGAGTCTAGCAACTAAGGGTCTGCTACATAGAATTCATAGACATATGTTGTAATATGCCAACCTGTATAATAAGAAACTGTTCTCTTTTGAGGCTGCAATTTTTGAAGTACCACAATTTCCTCCTAAACAGCAGAATCATATTCTGCATAAAAACTGTTTAGGTCTTTACAAACATGTTATGTTATGTGATGCTTGTATTAGTTTGTAAGTTGAAGTCTTTTTGTTATTTTTTCTGGACATGTCTTACTTGTGAGAAAAATGTGATTTTTTTTTTTTTCCCCAAATCTTAAATCTGCTAAAATGTTCCACAATTGGATAAAGATGTAGTCCAGTAAACTATTCAAAATTAATAATAAAAAAAACAATATTATTTTAATGGTTTGATTTATCCCCCGAGTGACTGGAGATGTAGTCAGTGAGTTTTGTGCCGACGCAGCAGTGGCTCAGGTCACAGGAAACACCTTGCTCTGTTTCATCCCCATTGTGTAGTAAAACTGAAGCATGTGTAGTATAATTATTATTATTGTGTGTGTGTGTGTGCGTGTGTTATTGTGTGGTAAGTGTGCGGGAGGCTGTACCGAGCCGCTATAAAGGAAATGCTCAGAGGAAAAGGCAGCAGCAGCAGAGAGGCACCGCCCAGCAAGACAAGAGTGTGGACTGAGACCCCTGGACATAAAACAAAGAACCATGCTTTTCTCCAAAGGCCAATAATATAATTGTCAAGTAGAAGTAAAAAGTAAAAAGGTTTAAAAATAATTCTTCTAGATCGTAAAATGATTCCCAATTGGTCGAAAATCTTCATCTGTCAAGATAAGCTCTTCAAAAAGACACTAAATAGAACTTTGCAACTCATCTGCTTTTCTCAAAGTTCTTCACAAACTTGTCAATTGATGGATGATAGCAAGTCTGGAAGAAAGATGTGTGCCATTTTCTTGCTATTGCTTAAAAATGATATTATGTTGTTATACTATTCTTAACAAATACGCAATATCCAACAAATAATATAAATCTTTTGAAAACTCACATTTCTCAAAAAGAATTACAGAGAATAGTTGATAGCTGTGCATGGCATGTTTTTATGTTGTTAAAACAAATAGTCAAAGCTTGAATAACATTGTTTTCTCACTTGTGACTGTGGTTACTGTCTGTGGTTAGATAGATTGAGTACACTGTTGTCTACTGCAGATATAAGGCTTCAATTAAAGTTAATGTCTTGTTTCACTCCTTTTAAAGCAATGATCTGCCTTATCTATCCATTTTAGTCTGCCTTTTAGCTTCTTGATTGGCAACTCTTACTTTAAATGTACATATTATAGATTCTTGAAGCAATGAAGGATGGATCAAATTCAATAGACAATTTCCCCCACTTTCGCTCCATCACTTGCTCCTCTCCTCCCCTCCTTCGCTCCCTCTCAAGGTTGTAGTCTCTCCTCTTTTCTCGCAGCCTCCATCTGTTTGCTCTCTCTCATTCATCATCTGTGACGGAGACCAAGCGCCTCCATCCATCAGCTGCAGAAGACGACTGCTCTGTACAAAACACATTCCCACTGAACACCACATGGACAGGCTGTGTACACTCAGACTCTGGTACTAACACTGGTATGGTAATTTCACTATATGTTTGATTTAATATATTCTGTCATTTAACACACATTTCGATTAGAGTCCTATTCTTTAGCCGATGTTGGTTCTCTGTATAAATTTGTATCTAGACAAGTTACATTACAGGTGCACTATGTAACTTTTTGGTTGTTAGTCCGTCACATTTGTCATTGCTCTGCTTCGAATGTTCCACAATATGGCATTAAACAGCTCTACCTTACATGTATTCACTTACAGGTGGTTTTATTGCTCAAAAATACCTAGAAAAATAGACATTCTCACCATGAGCATGGTTGCCTCTCCACAGACCCCGATTTGTTCTCCATGATGATTGCGATAGATTAATGCCATCCTGTGAAACTTTCCAAACAAAGCGATAACACACTCCACCAAGAAAAGCATTTTTATTGTTTTATTGTTTGCATACTGGTGTTATCCAATTATAATCCTCAACAAGCTGGCTTTTGAAAAGCAAAGTATTTTCAGTGGATACTAGACTAATATCATCCACTCTCTTTTATACACTACCGTTCATGCGATTGCTGCTCCACATGCTGCAGAATTGTGCATGTATGACGGGGTGACCTGGATCTGTGCACATCGGGTCACTGGTCGTCTAATTAAAAACACACCAGGAGCCCAATGAGGACTTCATTAATTAGCAACTGACACCATTGTCATGACAACCATGGACTATGCAAAGTGATCTTAATTTGGCTTAGAAAACTTAAAAAATCTCAATGACCATAAAGTAATAGTTGTTGCAGTTAATTATTGACAATATTTTCATTTTAAACATCAAGCTAACTTTTATTTTCCAAATCTTTCTTTAGATTCACCTAATTTTATTTTTTCCCTCAAGTGAACAATTTATAACACAGCAAATCACCAAAACTACAGCTGGAAAATAACTTCCACCTCACAGCCGAATGAGATTATTCCTTTTTATTTGTCTCAAGTGAAATCAAGTTGGTTATTATACACATATGCTCTTGTTAATACGAGTCAATTACAACAACAAAAAATAAAGTTTAGAAATCCACCAAATACTTGATCCACCCACTTGGTTATCCTCTCTTCTGTTTTATGAAATCGTAAATGGTTTAAAGTCATATTTACACAAAATAGATTCTTGTGAGCTTTAAGCCATGTTTGAATGCTGTTACATCCTCAAAAACCAACCTGAAGTTGTGTTTTGTTTCATTCACATGCATTTTGAGTAATCCTTTATTATTAGTCTGTCTACATCTCGAAAGCTCAAAATGCTCTGCTCCGGCTGGTGTCATGAAGCAGTAGTTTTCAACAGCTAACTTTTTACCTGTTGTTCAGTTGAGATTGGCAATGAAGGGCTGAAATTATTCAAATGATTATAGTGAAAGTGTATGGAGTTTAAAAACAAATGGAGCACTTACTCTATTTCCACATGACATCACAAGGTGGAACAGAGTGTTCTCAATTTATGAAAAGAGCTTCAGGATTTATGTGTGTAGAGTGTGAATGAATTAAAACAAAACTTCAGGTGGTGAGGAAACAATATTATGACATAAAATGACATAAAATACTGTAATAAAGCCCTTTAATAACAATATGCAAAACTAATGAGCTAGGGCAAGCTATTCTACTGTATCGTTTTGTTTGCTTAGGGCAAAAATAGGTCAATGAAACCTTACTACAAATGTAACATGCACTGATCTGTTTCATTATGATCGAGTAAGACAAATTGCTCAGTGGATGTGATTTGAGTTCAGTGGGTCACTTCAGTCTCTACAGTCTTTGGGCATCTCTGCCTGGCAACATGTTTATTCTGTAGCCCACTTCTGAGGAGGAAGTGTGTCAGAAGACCCCAGTGGCTACAGCATGTAAATCTAATGAGGCAGTGATAAATATGCATAGGCAAGGCAAAGCTAAACAAGACAAACTAAACCACTCTATACAGTTTTCTATT